CAGGAAACAAACCGCGGATATGCCAGAACATTCCTGGAAGTTTGTACATTTTGTTTCACAGAATGAAACACTGAAAACAATGAACAAACCTTGAGATACCAAATGATCTTACTAACAATTTAAGAGACTTTCAATTTTTGACTTCCTGCCTGCAGGAAGGAAATGACAGTTGGAAGTGTGGAGAACAGGTGTTACCCTGGACAGCGTGATATCTTCTGCTTACTAAAATAAAAAACACTGCATCAACACTCCTACGTGGAAGTGAATTCTAACCGCAAGACTCAGTCTTTCCACCACAGACCCAGCTTCAGAAAACCAAATCTGTTTCCTACCAGGAAGTTGTTAAACCCAGCATTAAAAAGCAGACTCAGGGGCAGAGTTCTTCGAATCAGTCTTGGACAGATCCAAGTAAAGAATGTGGATGGTTTGAAAATGTCTCCCTCCCTGTCCTTCTAATTACTGGCAGTGCAGTTGCATGGCAGACTCATCCGGGGACTTAGAAGGGAAAGCCTCAGGATTGGCATAAATTGCTCCCAGCGGAAGGGTAGGTGATTCTAAACCATCTCTCAATCCCTTTGTCTTCATCTTTGAGGCAGAGATCTGGCATTATTTCCTCCCAGGAGATGAATGTGGGCATAATGTCATTCTTCATCTTTGGCAAGCTAACTAGTTGCTCTATCTCTCATGAGGGAACCTTCCCTGTGTCCCAATCTGTTATGGAAAGTTTAGACAAATGAAACTTTGGAAGGGCTGAGGACCCTGAAATAATTGAAGGCTATGCCTTGGACTAGACAAATACCAGACCGTCCTCTCCAGCCTCCTTCATTAGTGATTCAAATCCATTATGGAATACGCATTCTTGAGGGCACATGGGTCGGAAAGTTCGGGGAAGATACTGTAGCACTGAGATCTGTAAAGTCATTGTGAATGCTTGCAGGAGGCATAACGTGCATCGTGAGATTAAGAAACTCTGCAATACCCAAGGGGCTTTGTCCTTGGAACCATGGCTCTGGAGGAAGGAGACACTGTGGCTGCAATTGGGACCATGCAAGGAAATTGAAACCCACGGGCTGAGTGAACAGATTGTATTGGGACAGGTGGTACACGATCTCTCCTTCTGAGAGGTCAGTGTAAGAGACCGCATTCCCTTGGAATGAAAGACAAGTTAACCACAGCCTGGCGCATTCCCCCTGCCACCTGCCACTTCTCTTACCCTTCACCTGTTTATTCATTCCTGCCCCACGTGTGTATTAAGGGCCTATTGTGTGCCCGGCACTGTGCTGAGACGTGATGGTACAAAGACGGTCTCTGCTTTCAAGGAGCTTGTGGTTTTACAGGAGAACCCAGTCTGCAGTCACCACAGGGAGGGGTCAAAAGGTGTTTCACACGAAGGAGGAGATTCCTGCTCCTCCCTCGGAGAAGGAGAGCGAGGAAAATCCTTAATCTGGGGCTGAAGGGGGAAGGCCATGCCTCTTCGCAGTCTCCCGTGAGATCAGGAGAAGACATTCACCCTCAACCCCAACCGCCCAGCCAGAAGACGGTCCCTCAGGGCATCCCCGTCTCCTGCTTGCCTCTGGCCATCTCCCTGCTCTTCAGTACAGCCACCGAGGCGCTAGGTGGCTTTGGTTTCTGTTTGGAAGTGAGGGAACAGAAATTCATGGAGGAAAGATTTTTTTTTTTAAACAGAGCAACAAAGTTTTTATTAAGCTGGAACCTCTTTGTTTCATTGACTTCTATTAGTCTAAAATTATCTTCTAATTTTTATGCTTGTGAAATATTCCAACTATGCCGATATTAATTTTTTAAAACCCATGAAAACCCCTGCACCTCACCTCACCCATTCCCCGGGGATAACGCTGTTAACAGTTTGATGAGTACCTTTCTGAATTTTTAACTTAAATTTAAATCTACAACTACGATATTTTACAACAAAAATCCAGTGCTTCTCTCTCCCACCGCTCTCCCCAACTCACTGCATCATGAAAATTCTTAGAACTATTTTTCAAGTGTAATTACACAGAGAAGGCTGCTGCAACCATATATAGATACTGTTTTGCGTCAATAAAAAGCACAGGCCCAAATTCACCTTTTCTGAGAAGATCACCTCTCTGATCAACTGTACTTTGATTTTTTTTTAATCCTCTTCTCCGAATCATCCAGTACATAAATGTTTTTGTATGATATTTGGCCTCTGCTCTAAAACGCATTCCTTTGTCTTATACTCAAGCCCTCTTGGTTGCCAGGGACAAAGACCTCATTTTGTAACAATACAGGTGAACTGGGGACTGGTCTTTCTTGGCGGGCTTCCATCTGTTGATCTGTTCCATTGCCTCACTCTCTGGCCCCCTTGCTCTGCTCATTCTTCTGTCCCCTCACTGTTTGGGCTTCCATTTGTTCATTCATTCATTCATTCTTCCCTCATTCAGGTGTTCACTCAATCATTACGGAGTTCAACAACATGCCAGGGGTAGTTCTAGCACAGTTTGAGTCACTCTGATCCTGACTCAAAATCATGGCCTCTTTTAATTCCACTTATCAAAGTCTCCCCCATATTTCTTACTTCAAATTCCTGAGGGTGAGGAAGTAGTTGGCCCAGGTTATGCCAGACCATACTAGATGGCTGGACGTCCTGTGGCCCAGTGCCTGTTTGTCCAGATGTGGCTGGAGGAGGGGGATGGAGGACTGTGGACAGGGTAGCCCTTCCCAGCCCTGACCTGTTCCGCTCACTCCGGACACGTTCTCAGGTCTGACCTGTATGTCTGTGTTGTGTCCCTAGAAGGCAGCCAATAGGACTATGTCTCTACCGTGATCTGCACAGTAAGCATTCAATGAACAAGGTTAACACGGTGACTCTTTCCTTTACATGGAGTTGCGCTCATTATGGGCAGAGGATGACAGGCATCACCTCCCTCCTGCTCAGAGAAAGCACAGCCAGTTACCCCAGCGTTCCAGGTGGTGGAGAACAGCAGGGCACATCACATGAATGATTACATGCTTCGTGTTATCTTTGAAGGTAAAAGTGAAAAGAGATTGGGAACCAGAGGAAGATTATAGGTGAGAAATATAAAGTGAGTGTCAGTTTTAAATTACCATACATGGAAATAAAAATTGAGCATTTAAAATGGAATTATAGACTCAGCAAGAGTCCTTTTCCCTGAGAGCCAGGCTGTTTTTATTCAACCACTGTCTTCAAATGCTCAGGTCACAATCCCTATTAATACACAAAATTTGTGAAAGAAATTATAATGCACTGTAGCGCCAGATGACTCAGGTCTGAGCGTTGGAGGCTGAAATCTGATACGTCTCTAGTATCATTTAAATAGAAGTTTTGCTCAGGGATGATAAGGAGAATTGATGTCAATTAGATGATATTAGAAATAGTTGGCAACAGAACCACTGCTCAGATGGTTTTCTGCCAAGCCTTTCGTATTCTTGCCGCCCTTCTTCCAAGTCTCTTCTTTCATTTGAGAGGACTTCTGCTCCACCGCAGTGGATTTGAAATTCAAGTTCAAAAAGAGTAACTAGACAGCTCAAGGAAGTGGCTAATTATCCTGCCACGGGAGGGTGGGAGGTGATAATCCTCAGAGCCATCCCTAGGATTCTAGGTGCATCCGGAGAGCCAGATGGCCACGGGGCCCCTTCTTTCTGCAAAGGGCCTTGGGAGAGAGGAGCTGAGAGAAGTACTGGCTTGTGTCAGTCAGACATCCGGCACAGGAGAGCCATCTGAAAACGCAGGTAGGTAGGAAGGGGAGGAGTCAGGGTGGATGCAGGGCTCTCCCATCACTCCTGCACCATCTGATCCAGTGAGGCTCTCACCTCCAGCTCAGCCTCCTCTGTGGCTCCCAGGTGGCTTCCCTGCCTCTCAGTTAACACCACTGCCCGGCCTTCACACCAGCACTTTGTCTTTTTGCAAATGGTCAAGTGACTCCTCTGTTCAGAAAACACGTTTTCAGGAACCTCCTACACTGTTGGTGGGAATGTAATTTGGTGCAGCCACTGTGGAAAACAATATGTAGATTCCTTAAAAAACTGAAAATAGAGTTATCATATGATCCAGCAATCCCACTCCTGGGTGTATATCTGGAGGAAACTCTAATTCAAAAAGATACTGCATCCCAGTGTTCATAGCAGCACTATTTACAATAGCCAAGGTGTGGAAGCAACCTCTATGTCCATTGACAGATGACTGGATGGAAGTTGTGGTTTGTATATGCATAAAACAAAATACGACTCAGCCATAAAAAAAGAATGAAATAATGCCATTTGTAGCCACATGGATGGACCTAAGATTGTCATTCTAAGTGAAGTAAGCCAGAAAGAGAAAGACAGATATCATAAGATATCAGTCATATGTGAAGTCTAAAAAAATGACACAAGTGAACTTATTTACAAAATAGGAACAGACTCACAGACATAGAAAACAAACTTATGGTTACCAGGGGCGACAGGTGGTGATGGCAGGGATAAATTGGGAGTTCGGGATTTGCAGATACAAGCTACTATATATAGAATAGATAAACAGTAGGTTTATACTGTATAGCACAGGGAACTGTATTCAATATCTTGTAATAATCTATCATGAAAAAGAATATGAAAAGGAATATCTATGTATACACATATATATATGTATAAAACGGAATCACCATGCTGCAAACCAGAAACTAACACAACATTGTACATCAACTATACTTCAATTAAAAAAAAAGAAAAAAAGAAAACACCTTTTTAAATACACACACACACACCCGCCAAATCCTTCATGGGACGTGGTCGTTCTGACCCAGCCAATTTTTCCAGCATCACTTTCCTCTATGTGCTGCCACACCAGACTCTCACCACTACTCCACCCTCCTTGCTTCTTTTTTTCCGCCTGAAATGTCACGGACGCCCCAGCATCTCTCCTCATTACCCCTATCCTTCCCACAGCCCAAAGAAGAAGTTCTGGGTGTTACCATCTCATTTAGGCTATGGTTCTCACCTCAGTTATTTTCTGCTCACAGGTTTGTTTCCTCCACGGACAGTGAGCATTTTCAGGGCAGGAACCCCCTGTCGCCCCTTCATTGTCGCACCCCAACACCCAGCAGAATGCTCAGCGCCAGTGCCTCAAAGTGGTTTTCAAAGGAAGGATATTCATGGGGATATTGCTGTCTTTTAAATATTTGATACGCTTTTGGACTAGGTATAGATGACTCTTAATGTGTTGATCCTGATAACAGGCTGCACATCGCCATGTTAGTTTACTGACCAGCAAAATAAAAATAACGTTAATCTGCGTTGCATAGCAATTAATGTGCAAGAACAAATAAATATTTCAAGCACCAGGAAGAAGTCTGGTTAGGAAGTTGGCAAAATGAATCCAAACTCCCTTTTCAAACACTTTAAAGAAAACTGAGGGGTCCTTCTCCAAGATAAGACTCTGGTTTTAGGTACTTCTCTTTGTCTGAATTAGCTTAGATATAAAAATAGGGGATTGGATCATGTCTCTTCCTCTCCTTTAACTGTAAAATTATATTATTCCAATGGTTCTATTACATTTTTTTTTGGATTAGCAATAAAAACTACATTAAAAGACTCACTTTTACCAATGCTCCCAAGCGTGTTGTGAAGTTCAGTTGACTTCGAATAATGGATGTGTAAACACATTAAGTGGTACTTCCACCGTGGCTCTGTTTCTTTAAGAGACCTTGGTTGTTAAGTTGGAAGATCATTGAACCATATGAGGGTCAATAAAAGAATAAAAAGTCACTGGTTAGTGATTCGAGTACAAGGAACTTAATCCCAGCTCTGTATCTGTGTGTCCATATGCTGCTCACTGTCAGAGGGGAACCATTTGATCCCCAGGCACACACCCTTCCCCAGGATGGCTTCTGGAAAACTAGTCAAGTTCGTGGTTTTTGAGCTGCTTGAGTTTGCTGCCTTTTCCATCCCCACGCTCGTGATGATGGAACAGTTTGCCTCTGCTGATCAAAACACAAGGGATACACGGGACAGAACACATTATTGGCTGATTGTTTCCTGTTCGATTGCTTATGTAGCCTTAATGACTATCTTGATATGGATTCCCGTGAAAGTTCTCTTGTTCAAGAAACGTCATCTTTACCAAAAAGTCATAGGATGGTAAGTAGATTTCTTAGAGAACTCCACGGATGCTTTCAAAGAGATTTTCTCATGTCCTCTCTGTAAGGATGTGAGCGCAGCACAAATGTACATAATGTGAGGTGAATTCGGAGTAATACACCATTTCTATAAATGCATTCATATTATGGTATCTTCCATATTTTTAATAGGGTCACTTTTACTGACTGATAATCACAAATTACATGTGTTCATAAGAGGTAGCATGAATCAATGATATCCTGAGTAGTAACTGCTGTAATAATTCCTCTGTATACTAAATTGCACAAAGTTATCACAGTTTATCTGCAGAAATCACAATTGCAAGATTATAATACAGAATTTTTCTTTTATGTAAAACTGAAAGCAATGTCTATGTTAAAATGTTTACATTGCATTATTTTGTAGCTCTGTGTCCTGTGACCATTAACCAATTGAGATTTTTAAGAAAACTGGTTCCTTTCTTAGATTTAAAAAAATAACCCTTTGCTATGTTGGTAAATTCTGTTAACCTGGTTGGGGGGAGGGTAAGTACTTCAATAATAATACAGAAATATTTTACATAAATCAAGATTTAATATGGATTGAACTAACAGTTTAGCTAATGACTGTACTGATCCATGTAAAGGTATTGAGAATAAATGACTCTTATCCTAATATATTTTTCCTTTTAAATCTTCAGATCTGGTTCTTATTGTCTGGGATTTCTTTGGTTTTCTTTGATGAGTTAAATTTTTCTTTCATACTGCTCTTTAAAGTTGAATAGCATAGAGCACCTGTGAAAAATGAGGAGCCGGGAATTTTAACCCAAGTCAGGGCAGAAATGTAAAAATGATAGATATAGCAATATAGCGAGAAATACTGTTGGAGGGTGCAGCCGGGGGAGGCTGAAGTGTGGCATTCAGGAAGTGCTCTTAGGTCCTGCTACCGGATGTGGCTCCCCAGCCTGGCCTGGGGACTTTCAGTTCCCTGAGGGCCCAGCTCCTGTGGGGTTTCTGGAAATGACCATCTGGTTGGCACTGCTTTCATTACTGGAGTTTATGGGTTTTCCAATTCTTGACCCAAAGCCTCAGGATCAGCTCAGGGTTGGGACTGGAGCTGAGTGAGCCTTTCATCCCTCACACCTACTAGGAGTTGCTTGGACTGTCCAAGACTCCTGGCCAGGCTGAAGAGTTTTGAAAAACTGGGGGAAAGGTCCACATGACTACAGGAGTAAACCAAGGGGAGGCTGGCCATACCAGCCCAGGAAGGTGCTTTTTCATCATTTTTTATATTGGCTCGTATCCCTAGGACCATAGGTCTGAATATCATTCAGGCAGTAAACCTTCCCATATCACTCATTGTTAACCGTGTATTATTATTAAGCTACAATTGTCCCTTTACTGATCCCTGATTACGTGCTATAAAATTTATATATGAGTTTCATTTAACTCCATACCACCTGGTGAAGTATGTATTTTCTATGAGTTTATCATTATTATTACCAAGAGGAAACTGATGATTAGAGAGGTTAAGAAACTTACCTGGTCAGCTGACCAGTGAGTGAAAGGGCTGTACTTTGGACCTAGGCCTATCTGATTCCATAATTGGTACTTGTAACCCTACCCTAAACTGCTTCTGTGAAGGACGAGCAATCTCCAGGAGCAGTTGAAAGTACGGAAGAGAGTAGTTTTTCACTTCTCCTCCCTGCTGTGTGTGTTATTTGTCTGTTTGTTTGTTTTGTTTTGGTTCATCTGGCCCAGCTGCTCTTCTTTTGCTAAGGTATCTGGGGCTGTCACAACAAATGCATCTTTCAGTGATTTCTTTTGGGAGATAGTCTTCCAATCAATCTTTTGTTTCTGTTTGTGGGTGTGGCCAGCCATGAGCGCTCTGAATAGTTTTAGATAGATAACAGGTTATCTGTAATTTCAGTGAGACTGTGAAACTGTTCCCTTATGGCCTCATTCATCAACTCTATCATATTGTTATCTCTCACTGGTCTAGAAAAGAAGAAGTTGTTCCTGGGTGCTATTCTGGGAGCTTTATGCATTCTGTGCTGTTAAACTTTATGCCAACCCAGTGAGGTATGTGCTAGTGTTCTCATTTTATAGATAAAGAAATAGAACTTGAAGAATGATTAACTTTGTGAAGTGATAAAGCTTGTAAGCAGTGGAGCTGGGATTTGTGAGCCCAGGGGTGTCTGATTCTGTGCCATTTCTTCTATTTTGTTTACCTTTTCCTTTATTCTTTCTAATTTTGAATACTATGTGTGTTTCAAGAAAAATGCAACTCCTACCGTGTCAATAGGATGCATTTTCCCCAAAGATGTCTATTTGAATATGATACATGATCCCCAAAGTTGTGAATAGGATATTTTAATGTATGTGGTATATGTCCTATAACCTGATTGCTAGATGGAGATGATGCAAAAGTAATTGCTACTATAAAAAGTAGGGGTTGAAAGTATGAATTATTTTTGAAGAATACTTGGGTATATTTCATAGACGCTTAGCACTCACAGATGAACTGTTGATAAGCCCATCTGAGAACCTCTCTGTACGTCCACACTGGCACCATGGGCCCTAGGGGGCTGATATTCGAGAACCAGTGAAGTGTGTGCCCTGGCAGGACAGCTGAGAGGTGCAGGCCTGAGTTCAAATCCCTCCTTCGACACTGACTGTGACACCATGTATGAGTTATTTAAATTCTTTGAAATTTAGTTTTCTCATGAGCAAAACAGGGACAACCTAGGTTCTTCATGGACTGTTTTAAGAAGCTGTATAAGATTATGCATATAAAGTTCCAAGCACAGTGCCAGGCAGAGTGAGGACTCAGTGGGTATCAGTGTTATTACTTCAGGCTGAATTTAGTATTTCCATTGAAAATGTGATCTGGTTTAATCCCCAGAGTGACTCTGAGAAGTAGTAGAAATGATGATAAAAATGATAAAACTGAAAAAATTATATGAGTGATACTCCATGCATCCAGAGAATGCTGTAGGTCTTTTATCCTTTGAGAATAATGAAGGTGAGTAAAGTGATCTCACGGATATCTTGCAAAGCATTTTGCAAAAATGCATAGTGGTTTTATGTTTCATTTTCTCACTTGACCTGCCCACCAGGGTTGTGAAGTTGACCGAGTGCACATAATTCCCATTTTATAAGGGAGGAAACAGTGTCAGAGAGCTTAAGACACACACACTAAATCAACATTAGAGTCTGAACTTTAATCCAGTGCTCTTTCCTGTGCTCTTGCTGAACACTTCCTCATTCTTTCAGAATGATTGTTCCTTTATGGGGATGCCTGTCATAATTTATAATAGCCTAGGGAAATGGTTTGAGGAATGAAGGAAAGCTATTTATATCCACATTATATGGTATATCCCAGTAAATAAGAGGAATCCTTGCCTGGGATACCACTGAGCCTCAAATCCAGCCTGAAACTGGGGCAGATTTCCACGGGGAGGGTACCTTGGGGAAGAATCATCCTGGAGGACTTGTGGGGATCCCCAGACTGCTGTGGGAGCTAGGGTTATTGTTCAGGGATTCGCTCATCTTTCAGAGAATAATTACTTTAGATCATGACATGTCGGGAATCGTGGGCAGTGCCAAGTTAGAAAGACTCCCACATTTTGGAACATTTTTACCTTGTTTAAATGCTTAACATATTCCTCAAGGTTTGCTGTTGATTTGTTTTAGGGGGCAGTAGTAGCAGTAGCAGGGACAGCAGCTGCATCAGCAGCAGTAGTAGTAGTAATAGTAATAGTAATAATGGTGGTGGTGGTAGTAACAGTGGTAGCAGTAATCATGGTAGTAGTAGTAGTAGTAATAGTAGTGGTAGTAGTAATAGTAATGGTGGTAGTAGTAGTAACAGTGGCAGCAGCAGTGGCAGCAGTAATAGCAGTAATATAGTTGTCATCATAGTAAAATAAGAGCAAATATTTATTGAATGATGACTATATACCAAGAATAGTTGTAAACACACTGCCTGTATTATTTTAGTTAATTCTCTGACCTTTATGGATACGAACACTTACAATGTCCATTTTACAAATGAGGAAATTGGGGCCCAGAGGTTCAAAGACCACACACAGCGGGTGAGTAGTGGAGCAAAGACCAACCCCAGGGTGTCCAGGGTCTGAGCACCTTCCTGTTCCACAGCAGCACACACAAGTGATGGGTTAACCTGAGAAGACAGAGCTCGCTCTTCCCAGCACCTCTGAGAAGGTCGTGGCTGAGTTACCGTGAAGTCAACTTTGGTGCTTAACAGTTACTTCTTCCCAGAGCACTGCCATTTCTCTCAGCGTGTCTGTGATCTCCGGAAACACTCAGAAGATACCAGTTTCTCGTACTTGACCTCAGGCTTTCTCTTCTTGTCCCACCATCTCTAGTCAATCAGCATGAGTGTACTCACTTTTGCTTTCTTCTCCCAGCATATGCAGTAAGTCACCAGATTCCATTAGTTCCTCCTCTTTCATCTCTATTTCATCAGCACCTTGTACTCCATGGCTGTTTTCCTCGCCAAGGTAGGCACTCATTTCCAGGGCCACCATACGCTTGAGTGTCTGGCATGGTTCCTCAACTTCTCACCTGTTCAGATCTGATGTCAGATCACTTGTTCTGACAGCTGTTGGTCAAGGAAGCATGAAGAGTATTTGATGAACAGGCTGGGACTCAGGCAACCTTCACAAGCTTATGTCCTTGACTTTTGCTTCTTCTGTCTCCCTCATTCCCTCCCTGTCCTTGCTGACAGAGTAATAATGTTCTTGAAAGAAGTTGTCTGCATGCCAGTTCCACCTATAGAAATCTATTCTTCCCCTTGCTTGTAGAATTCAGTGTTGACATTATACCACAGAATCCTCGAGCTGGAAGGCACCTTAGAGTTCACCTATGACATTGTTTCTCACAATACAGATAGTCTACTTCTGATTTTAAAGGGAATTCATGACTTCCTGAGTCTCTAATTGTGAGAATAGGCTTCCTTATCTCCTATATTCAAGTAAAATCTGCCCCCATGTAGCTTCC